TGGATGGTCAGGGGCTCGCTGGGTCCGTGGCAGGCGGGGTCGCCCATGCCGCGCGCAGGGCCATTAGCCGCAGCCCGCGACGGCACAAGTCCCAAGCCGCCGCAGACCATATCATCCTCACCGCTGGGTTCCGCGATCGGCGGCCGCATCGCCCCCTCCACCTACGGAGGGCGCGCCAGGCCCAGGGGGGCCGAGGGCCCCCCAGCCGGCCGCGTTGCGGCTGGAAGCGCAGGCGCGCCGACGTCAGCGCGCCCCCACGGTTGGCGGAGAAATCCTGCTCGAAGGGCGCCTTCGTGTTGAGCGCGAGCGCAGCGCCCACGTCGCTGACCGCGCCGAGCCAGAGGTCTGCACCTTCGCTCTCGACGAACCACTCCAGCTCGTCGGCGCCTGTCCTCGGCGCCGCGCTGCGTAGCGCTCGGGCAGGCTCGGGCCGGCGATGGTGGGCCTCGCGCGGGCCCGAGAGCGACCGCGGGCGCCCTGTGGCGAGCGGTCTGGCGTAGCTGCCGAGTTCCTTGGGCCTCCTTCTCGACCTCCGACTCGGCGGTGGCGTCGCTCTCATCGGCCTCGAGCCCCTCGATTTCGCCGACGGCCTCCGCGCTCCCGGGGGGTCTTGGCGATCGCCAGGGGCGGCGTCAGAAGCCGCGCGGCCGCCCTGGGCAGCGCCTCGAGCGCCCGGCTCCGCGCCGCAGCTGCCGGCGCGCCGGGCGGAGGGCCCCGCCGGGGCGCGGCCCGCGGCGGCAACGCGACCCGCGAGCGCTCGGCAGGCCGCTCGGGCCTCGCAAGCGCGCTGCCGCCGGCGACGGGCGCCAGATGCCGACTCGGCGTGCCCGGCGCCCCTGGCGGCAGTCTCCCTCGGCGGGCCGCGCCGGTCGCGCGCGGGAGCCCGCCGCGTGGGCCAGGTGGCCCTTGGAAACGCAGCAGGAACCACGGTGGCTATGGTGGCGGAGGTTGCGCTGCTCAGCTCCATGTCACTTGCTCGCGCTGCTTCGTGTTCATCTGCGCGCTGCTCGTGCTCGTGATAAATTTGAACTGGATCGTTCGCTTCTAGATGGTGTGCTCCTCTGTGTCCGTTTACATCATGTTGATCGTGCTCTTCTGACTTGGGCTTGGCTCAGGCCTCGCCGTTGATGCACTTGTGCCCCTCTCGCTAAGGTAGTCCTCCTCCATCTGTACAGTGTTGTGCTAGTCTACGGTTTTCAGCTGCATCACTATCGTCCTGAACGGCTTGACAGGACTTGACCAGGGTTTTCGATGCGTCAGATGTCGAAAAACCGGGGGCCCCCGTCGCTCGGGTTAAGCTCGCCGGGGGCTCACCTCGCGCGCGGGCGCTTATTCAGGGCCAGACAGAAGGCGACAGCCAGACGCACGCAAGACAGGACGCCCGTGTTTTTTGGCTATCCGCCGGTCGAAACACAAGACTGCTCGCATATTGTCCGTCAAAACACTTATGTGCCCCCCCCCCCCATGTTCGGCGACAGAACGCACTGCATCTCCACCGCGCGCAGAAGGGCCCGAGACTCATGGACTAGGACGTCATCGATCGCATTGAGCCACCCGCAGGCGACTGGCTCAGTCCAGCGGGAACTCGAAAAGATCTCCGCTACCATCTCTCAAAAGACGGGTCGACTCCCCACTCGACCTCGGGCACGACAGACTCGACCTTATCCAGCGCGGTCGCCGGCTTGAGGGCGCCGTCGCTGGTCATCGCGATCTCTTTCGAAGCGAAGAAGTAGGCCCTAGCGGAATGGCCGCCCGAGACGTCTGAAACGCGACCGTTCCTGGACACCCCGGGTCTGCTTCGCCAAGACCTCATCAAATATGGACGCGCTTACGGCGTGCCCGTGCTCCGAAACGTCCGACAGGCATGCCAGCTTGCTCCGCGAAAGGGGCCAGGCGCCGCGCGGCGTCGGCGTCGTCTCCCGGACGGCCACGCTCGCGGGCTCTGGCCCACAGAGGCGCCGCCGGTTTGTAGCTGACGGCTATGAACTTGTAGATGGCCGTGAAGGCTGGCAGCAGGTCGCGGTTGCGCACGGCGCAATGCGCAATGGCCGATCACGTCCGCGCGCGGCAGCCGAAGGCCCAGCTGAGCCCCTGCCACACTTGCCAGCACCGCTTGTCGGTGAGCCGCGTGCTCAGCGACCTGCCGTCAAGCGCGCCCCAGGGTCTCTCCGCGACCCAACTGGATGTTCGTCTCGTGGGTCTTCAGCCCGACCCCGTCGAACCGCGCGGCGGCCGCTGCCGGGCCCTGGCCGACAACCTCGGCGTCGAAGCCCATCGCGCCCATGTCCACGTGGGTACACTGGGCCCCCCCCGCCGTCGGCTGGGAGGGGCGCGGGGCCGTTGCTGGCCCTCGGTCGCTCATGCTGCGCGCGCCGGCCAACGCGGGCGTAGAGAGCATCGCGTCCTCGCCCACCTCCTGGCAGAAAAACAGGGGCCATATGAAACCCATGGGCAGGGCCACGCAGGCTGGCGCCAGGCCCGCGTCGCCACTCACTGCGCTCGGCCACGGCGCTGGCGGCATCCTCGCTGGGGCCACCGATGGCGCCCGGCGACGGCGCCTGCCCACGCCCGGCCACTCCCTCGGGCGCGGCGAGGAACTCCCCGCTCTTGCGCTCGCGGTAGCCGGTCTTGTCGGCAAACGGAACCGCCTCCGCCAGCTGTCAGCCCCCGTGGTGCGAGGTCCATGAGCTCGTCGGGAGGACCCAGCACCACCTCCAGGCCAACACCGGCGACAACGGGGGACGACACCATCCATACGCATCCAGGAGTCGGCTCCAAGTCGGCTGGACGGCGGCCGCCCGCGGCGTCAGCGGCGTTGCCCGCAGCTGCTCCGTCGACCGCCACAGCGTCGGCCTCAGCTCCCGCATCGCTAGCCCCCCTCCCGGGCTTGGTGCCCGCGCGACTCCGAGAACGGCTGGCGACCACCATCAAAACTCAGGTGCACATCGGCATCGGTCACGTCGTTGTGGGCCAGCTGCTCCGTCCTCGCCTGTAGGATCAGGGTCCGCAGGCCCAAGGCACCCACCGGCGCGCTGAAGCGGTAGAAAGCGCCCGCGGCGAGAGCGGGCGCTGTGCCGCCGGGCCCGCACCACCGCACCGGAAGGCGCGCGAGCAGCCCAGCGACGTCCTCGACGTAGACGTCGTCGTCGGTCGTCAGCAACCACAAGTAGCTGCCACCCGCTGGGAACAGCAGCAGGCGCTCGTGCCACACTGTGTCCCTCGGGTGCCAGAGCCCCAGGCGCGCGCCAGGCGCCAGCTCAGCGCACCACACCACCGCCTCGACGACTGCTCCTGTCGGCCCCAGGGCCGAAGCCCGCCCGCGGCGTCGGCGTGGCGGAAGGGCCAGCACGGCGTCGACAGAGGGCGGCCACGCAGAGCTCCAGCAACACGATCCCCTCGACCACGGCCACTGCCCAGGCCGCGAACCACCAGCCTCGTAGCCCCTTCGGCTCAACGGCCAGGCCGGCCTCCGGGGGCTACGCCAGTCCTGGCGATTCTGCGGGGCCTGCAGGGCGGCCCAGCGGGGCCGGGCGCACGGGGAAGATGGCTGAGCACCGCTGCTGCCAGCTCCGGGGCGCCGGGGCAGACCGCCGGCGCCGGCGAGGAGTTCCGAAGCAGGGGGACCAGCTCCCGGGCCACGCCCGCGGCGACCCGGTGCCTCCAGCGCGCAGGGTGCCGGTGCCCAGCACACGCAGGAGGGGCAGCTCACGGCTGCCGCGACCGTGGTGGCCACCCGGTGTGCCAGGAGGCGCCCGCCAACCACAGCCGCCCGCATTCCCATGGACGCCCCGATGGTGAGCGTCGTGCTGGCGCTGGGGGCCATGGACCGGTCGCAGCGCATGCACTTGTGAGCCATATTGACCATGAAACGGAGAGGCATTAAGACAATCACGCGCAAGCACTCCCATTGATGCTCCTCAGCTTTCTGAAATATGTACATGTTTCCCGTATCGGCCTGCTGACGGCCCGAGACGGCCCAAGAGCCCCCAAGATCGCTTCAAGATTGCCCAAAAGGCCTCCAAGATGGCCCCAGCATGGCCCAAGAGGCCCCCAAGACGGCCCCAAGAAGCCTCAAGAGGCCTCAAGACGCCCAATATGGCCCTGGAGCGCCCCGAGAGGGCCCCTAGACGCCTCCTAGATGGGCTCCGAGTAGATGTGGTCGGAAGATCGCGCCGCATCGCCACTGCATCGCCGATGCATCTTCGATGTGGCGATGCATCGGCGACCTCGGCGATGTATCGGCACCATCGGCGTGGAGAAACTCTGGTTCCATTTTACATTAAACGGCATCGCCGATGCATCTGCAATGCGGAGCGATCCTCCGACCGTCTCCGACCCACCTGCTCGGACCCCACCGGGAGGGCCTAGAGTTGTTCAATATCCGGAGGGGGTCTTGTGGAAACCAAACGGTACCGATCCCGCTACTCCACGGGCCGATCCCGGGGTGCGCTCTGACCAGGGCTTCGAGCCGAATCCAGCGGCGGTGACGAGGGCCTCCCAGGAGGCCCACAACGGAGAAAACGAGGGATAGGTATAGCTGGGCGGCGAGCGAGGGGGGTAAACGAGAAGGAGAAGGCCTTCTCAGAATGCGACGGGACTCCTCAGCAACCCCCTGGCCTTCCAGGACATGTTCTGTGCCTTCGGGGAAGGCTTGGACAGCTCCTCAACAGCCGGGGGACTTCCGAACCTTCTGGGCAGGCCCGCCCCCTCTCATGTCCCCCCCATGGGTTCGCCGCCCAATAGCGGTGTAGTACCTCCTCCTCCTCCTCCTCCTCCTCTGAGGTCCGGGATTCAGAACAAGCGAAGGCGACACCAACACCACCAGGTCGAGGAGATGCGAGGAGGCAAGGGGGTCTCCCTCGTGGTGTGCCCCCCCCCTTTCGCTCGAGACATCCCCAGCCTCCAGCTCGGAAGGCATCGTGGACCTCCTCGCTGGAGTTGGCCTCCCTGGTGGTGTCGTCATCGTTTCCCCCCCCTCCGATGGGATGTGAGCCCGGAGCACCAGTTGCTGGTTCGCCAGCTCCAGCGCCTCCACGCTGTCCCTGTGGCCCTGGGCCATCTTGTCGAGCCTGTGCACTCCTCCCTCCTCCTCCTCCTCCTCCTCCTCCTGCCTTTCCTCTTCCTTCTCCTCCTCCTCCTCCTCCTCCTCCTCCCTTTCCTCCTCCTTCTCCTCCACGAGCGGAAGCCTGCAGCCACCAGGAGCAACAACACGCAGCAGCGGCAAGCATTGCCAGCAGCGCACATCAGCAGCCACCTCCTCCTCCTCCTCCTCCTGCCTCTCCTCTTCCTCCTGCTCCTCCTCCTCCTCCCTTTCCCTCCTCCTCCTCACTGTCCCTGTGGCCCTGGGCCATCTTGTCGAACCTGCGCCGCCCGCGCGCGGCCGACGGGGTTGCCCGCGCGAGCGCGGACGCGGGCGCCCGGCACCGGGCGGCTGCCGGGAGAGGGGCGTCCGACGCCGTGCCGCGCACCCTTCGGTGGCAACCCATGGGGGCCTCCCATGGTCACCTTGCTGGCTCTTGGGGGAGGAGGAGAAGGAGATGGAGGAGAAGGAGAAGGAGGAGAAGAAGGAGGACTTGAAGTGATATGGCGTAAGGGGCGCCTTCACCCCATGTGATATGGCCTGCGGCCATCTCCACCCGAGGACTGACAGGGGGACCTGCGCCACAGCAAGCCACCCTGGGGGTGACAGGAAGAATCGGACCTTCCCAGAGCCCACCAACTTCTCGTTGGAACGAGAGAAGACGCGCGTCACGCACGGCACGCGCACTCCATGAGCGCGATCCCTTCAGCCCAAACTGCTTTACAAGTTTAAAACCTGTTTGGGCGCAAACTGCTTTAACAATTTTAACGCCTGCTGTGCCGCACCGTCCCCGTGACTTTTGCAACGCCTCGCGTGGCGTGGGGGGATACCGGATGGGACGGTACGCCTAAAAATTACAATACAAGCGTGCGAGGCTCTGATATGTGGTGTTGCGACTGTCCCGGCTGCGTGGCCGATAATTTGGGGGTGAAGAATGGACGTTATCCCCCTAGCCCCACGAAGTGGGCCCGGATATGTGCTTGGCCCACCCTGGGGGGACGCAACAAACTAGAACCAAAGCGCGCACCTTGCCGGGAGGGGCAGGATCTGTCCGCCCCTGGGCAGCGGTGCAAGCTAGAATCCGAGCGTGCGCGGTTATGATATGTGGTATTGCGTCCTGATTGCTTGCGCTGTTGCGTCACATATTGCGCGCGAGCTTGAAACAGGCCTGTGAGACACGACAGCTTGCACCACGTACTGCGCCCGAGCGTGAAGCATGACTATGAGACACGATAGCTTGCACCACGTACGGTGTTGTTGATGTAGGCCTTGAGTTTGCCCTGGAGTGCAACGGGACCTTCGGACTGGATCAAGTAATGGAATGAGTCATGCACGTGGTGACAGCGATGGACACGTTACGATGAGAGCGACAGGCACGCTTTTTCTCTTGAGGAGATAGGAAGGTACTCGCCCAGTCAAACCGCAGGGCCAACCATTGAGTTAGGGTGTTGCCCACGATTAAAGCGGTCCCAGGAGTACCGCGCTCCATTGGCCGTGAACTCCATTACGCAATCCTTGTCGAGCCTCTTGAGTGCGCCTGATTCCGAATATGCTCCACAACGGCTGAAAGTAAAAATTACCCCAAACGAGTAGTTGGAGATTTGCAGCGTGTGTTTCCGAGGGTTCGCTACCAGGTTGCTGAAGGGGGCGCTGTACCCCTGGCAAGAGGATATCTTCTGCGACGGCTTGCGCTCTCCTTTTGCAAGTCGGAGGCAGCGTTGACATGCCCAGCGCGAACGTTTCCATGTCCAATCATGGCCCTCCACAGTTGCCGCGACGTCCGCTGCTGTTTCGGCTGGCGGTGGTGGCGGAGGAGGAGGAGCAGGAGCAGGAGGAGAAGGGGTAGGAGGAGGATGTGTAGGCTGTACGATGTAGGAACCTCCTGTGGCCAACTTGCTGGCTCTTGCGCACGGGTGCACGCATGGGTGCTGACCGACGCTACATCGACACGCTCATCGACGCCTGGGTCTGGGGTTGCTCCTGATCCTCCCTCCCGCGCGCCCTCCCCCCACTCGAGGTCCAAGAACCGCGTGATGACGGACCGCGTGGTGACCTCGGAGTCCCCAACGACCTCACCTCGCGGTCCGCCCCCGCACGGCATTGCGACCTCGGGCCCCGCTTGCCCGAAAACTCCTCCCAAAACGACCCCCGAGTCCCACAACCGTACGGTGAGCCCGAATCCCCACTGACTCACTACAGTGGCCCTCCTCCGAATGTTTGGCCTTCGGGCCATACATTGGGTCCCCAGCGACCGTTCGGGACGATCCTGGCAATCCAGGAACGCTCTCGGGGAGGCGCGGCTGCTGGAAGGCATCCCGAGGCAAGAGAGCCCCCGGGAACCCACGGAAACGTCAGGAAATCCCGAATCCCCCCTGACTCACCACGCGGTGTGGTCACCACACACTTTGGGGGCTCTGGGACGACGACGAAAACGACGACGACGACTCCCAGCGAGGCCTCGGCCCGACAAGCCGGAGGCTGTCCAGCGCCTGCCCGCTCGTGTGGCCCAGCTGCTCCAGCTCCTGCGCCACGCGCTTGTCCTGGGGGCGATCGGCACTTGATCCGTGCCTCCGGTCGCCCCCATGTCCCAGGTGGATTGGGTCGGGCATGTCCTCTCACAGGCGGATTTTTGAAGAAGAGCGAAGCATGGTCAAAAGATAGAATTCAAAAATAATAAACATACACAACACATCACCTCCAGACTATTTTCAGTAGTTCTGAACATCCCTCCTGTAGCGGGACATACATGACTTAACACGAGGAGCACGAATCGAGGAACAACAATTCACATACTTTCGGAGATCCGCGCGGATTCTTGTATCGGCAACGTAGCCTGCGGAGCGAGCCAGGGGCGGCGCCGGAGGCGCCGCCAGGGGTGTCCAGCTCCGATCCAAGAAATCAGCGCGGACCTTCATGCTCATGCCATGATGAGCTCCCCGAGCAAAAGCGGGGATGTGGATCAATGTTTGGCCTCCGAAGCCACGTATTTTGTTGATGGCCTGCTTCCCCTGATGCTCGGAATGGGAGCCAGCAGCACGGGTATGGATCGAGCGTCGATCGTCTTCGAAAATCCCACCAGCCTTTTGTGCTAAGGTGGTCTGACGGGTTGTTTCTTTCCAATTATAAAGCCCTCCTCTTTTACGGGAGGTTTGCTTCCCCCCGTTTTTTTGTTGTTCTTTCTTGTTTGTTTGGTTTGAGGGGGGGGGACGCGATCGTCAGAGCGCCCAAGTAAGCCAAGATGGCTCCAAGAGGGCCTCCCATGTTCCAAAATGGCAGCCAAGATGGGTCAAGATCACTGACGAGGCAAGGCCAAATGACGGCTCCAAATGCTATCGGAGCCCCCCTCGGACCCCCCAAGAGGCCCAAACCGCTCAAAAGCCAGGGAATGTCAATGAGTTGTGCCTTCTCGCCGATTCGCGTTCGATGAGCTTGTGAGGCCTCCAGATGGCCACAAGATTGCCCAAAACAGGCCCAAGAGGGTCCATGAGACCCCAACGTCCGACAGCGTCCTCCGTCCGAGCGAGGAGGAGAGCAGCAGGGAGGGAGGAGGCGTGGCGGCAAGAAGGACGGAGGAACAACTAGCGAAATACAAAGGAGCAGGGAAGAGGAGCAGAGGCTCGCTTTTTGATTTTTCACGGCAACGGTGAGCGTGATGAGGGGGAAGGGAAGTGTGTGTGTGTGTGTGTTTGGGGGGGCATAACGTGACGTCCCCCCCCCCCTTGCCGTGTGGTGCTGGACGCACTGTGGCAGTGCCGTGCCGCGCACTCGTGGGGAGCGTTGCGATGTGGGAGAGGGGGACGGGGGGGGGCGGGTGGGGGGCCATGATGCGCGTTACGGTCCAGGGGGTTGAGATAGCACTCTCGAGGGGGGGGGGGGGACCATGACGTGCGTCATGGTCCCGAGGGTCAGGCAATCACTCACGAGGGAGGAAGGGAGGGAGAACGAGTGGATGCTGGGAGGGGAGGGGTGGAGCCCGGCGGGGCGGGGCAGCGGAGCTCCTGCTCGGCGGACTGCCGCTGCAAACCGTCGACCCGCTCGGCCAGGGCGCGCTGGTGGTGCCCGTACCGCTCGAGGTCCTCCGCGGTGCGGCGCGCGGCGGGGGGGGGGGCGGGCGGGCGGACGAGTCTGGAGGATCGGGGCGGGCACGGGGAGAGTGGGGACGAAAAGTGAACACGGGACGAAGCATGGGGACGAGCACGGAGAGAATGGGGACGAGATGCCGGGCCCCGAAACCGCGTGGAGACGGCCCGCGCGGGGACCTCGGAATCCTCGGTCTGGGACCCCGGAAGCTCCAGTCGCCCGAGGGGTCCTCGGAGCATCCTCCCGAGGCCCAAAACCGTGTGGTGACCCCGATTCCCCACTGACTCACCACGCTGTGGTCAACACACAGTTTTGGGCTCCCGATTTGAGCAGGACTTGTTGTCCGCTTCACCGCTGACGTTTCACACCTCCCCCCGGCAGAAGAGGCCATATGTTCCAAACCGTCGCCCAGATACTGTTGAAAGTCGGGCAAAGCCATTGCGCGCGATGGCGACGCACGCGTTCTGGGCAGACGGATGGAAGGAGGAGGGAGAATAATGGAACACGAGACACATTAGCAAGATAATGGGGCTAGGAGCAGAAAACACGTGGCAGAACAAGGCGGGTAGACGCTCGCGGCCGGGTCGGGAAGGCGGGCCCAGGCGGCCAGGCCGAGCAGGCGAGTTGCAGAAGCGTGAATCCTGCATGAATCGCGAGGAAGTCTCGAGCGATAGCGCGATTCCCAAGTAAATCGTGAGAGCGGCCAACGCGAGAGCGTGATTCCTGAGTGTCGAGGGCGCGGCGTGTGAGTAAATCATGAGGAAGTCAACGCGACAGCGGGATTCCTGTATGAGGGAGTACCAGGCGGGAGCCACTGCTGTTGTTGTTGCTGGTGCTGCTGCTGTGGTTGTTGTTAGAGTTCGGGGCCCAACAACAAAGTTTGAGCAGGACGGTTTTCCTTGTTAAAAAATGGGTGCCAGCCACGAGGGGGCACTTCCATTGAAAAACAAAGTGTGCACTGGTGAGGGGGATGAGCAGTAGTTCGTCTTCACGGATGAGAGCCAACAAAAACAGCAACACTCATTTCAAGACAGTTTGCTCTTTTTATCTACTCGAGGACCACTCAGCACGTATATCACAAACCCTCGATACCCGCCCTCTTTCTTACCTGCATCGTGTATTTCGTGCAGCCCCTCTAGGGCAGTGGATGAGAGGACGAATGGAAAGAAGGGGCAGGGAGAAGGAGGAGGAAGAAACACCAGAGAGAATAGTAGGAAGGGGGCTAGGAGCAGAAAACACGTGGCAGAACTAGACGGGCGGGTAGACGCTAGCAGGCGGGTCGGGAAGGCGGGCACAAGCGGCCAAGTCGAGCAGGCGGGCTGCTGAAGCCTCCTGCGTCCTCCGTGAACCGCGAGGCAAGTCCCACATACATCGTAAGGATATCTTCAACGAGAGCCTAATTCCTGAGTGTCGAAGGCGCGGCGTCTGAATACATGGCGAAGAAGTCCCCGCGCGAGAACGCAATTATACATTGTGAGGACTTCCCGCGTGAGAGCGCGATTTGGGAATACTTTCTGAAGAAACATCAAACAGGAGCCGCTTGTGTTGTAAACCGGGGGGCCAAGGGCCCAATTTGGTGACCCCTCTCTTTCCCTTCTTTCAGACATATTCTAAAACCCGGGAGAAGCACTTAAATTGAAAAACCAAGGTGGCTGGAGGGGGGATGAACAATACTGACTTTTTAGACATAAAGGCTCAACAACAACAACAACAACAACAAACGGCGACGCACCCTTGCGCCAATATACACGGAATAGTAAAGCTCTATCACCCCGTGTATCCCATACACGAATTAATAGGCCCCTGTTACTCCGCATACACGGTGTATTACGCCGCTGATACTCCGTGTGTCCGATACACGGAAGAATACGCGCCCATGAAATAGGCCCCGATTACTCCGTGTATCCGATACACGGACGTGTAAGCGCTAATAATGGCACGCACGATAACGACAAACGGCACGCAATAATGACTCCGCACGCACGATAACGGCAACGACAACGACAAACACCAACAATAACAACATCATGACCAATAACAACAACAGCAACCGCAACAACAACACTAACAGGAGCAACCTCATCAGCAACAACAACAACTGCAACAACTAAACTAGCATCATCAAAAGCAAACTAAGCAGCACAAGCAACAACACCAACACCAACAACACCACACATAGCAGCATCAACCAATTTAGCCGCATAACTCTATGACTCTACATGCCGCATGCATTCCTCATGACAGCTCCCCCTCATGGGGGATTTGTTCTTGCACAGGGGGCGTCCAGTATTTCCTTACCCAAATATCCCGCCCGAAGAGGTCTTGACAACAACTCTTTCGAGGCATCTCAACTTCTCCAGCCCAGATGGCACACCGACTTCGCAATCGCCCTGCCCATCCCTTAACTCTAGGTAACACCACGCCCGAGTGGTTTAAACCTCTGGGAGAGAACCCGCAACCTCTGGGAAAGCCACCAAAAGCCCCTTGGACAGCCTCTGGAGCTCCTTGGGGAGCTCGCAGAGCCTCTCAGAGAAGCGCCATTGGGAGACGCTTCGAAGCTAAGCTGGAGAGCTCCGGGGCCTCGGGGGGAGGGGGACGAAGAGGAGGAAGCAGTAGGAGGAGAAAGGAAGAGGAAAGACGAAGGGGGAGGAGAAGGGCGAGGAGGAGGAGGAGGAGGAGGATGGAAAACGAGGGGGGTGGAGGAGGAAGGAGGGAGGGAGGAGGGGTAGGAGGGGGAGGAGGGGGAGGAGGGGGAGCAGGGGGAGGAGGAGGAGGAGGAGGAGGAGGAGGAGGAGGAGGAGGAGGAGGAGGAGGAGGAGGAGGAGGACCACGACGACGACGACGACGACGACGACGACGACGACGACGACGGGGTCGCCGCCGCGGGCTCCCTGGCCTCCCCTGTCACGCGGAGCGCGCCAGGGAGGCGCTGGTACAGACCTCCGGCAGTGAATGCTGCATCCTTGAGGATCGGCACTCGAGACTAGGGAGCGGCACTAAACACTAGGGACTAGGGAGTAAAGGCGGGGGAAGTATCGAGCGGAAGCGTCGTTCTTTGCAGGGTGCCGCTTGCGGCGCCGAGGCGGGAGCGCTGGTCCTGAGTACAAGAAGCAGGGAAATATCGATCGGGAGCGCCAGTTTGTTGGAAAGTCGGCTTTAGGCGGCGAGCAAAGGCCCCAGCCCCGAATAGAAAAAGAGGGACTATCGAGCGGGAGCGTTGTTGTTGTCGTTGTCGTTGTCGTTGAACTCTCACTTCTGAAAGATAGTGATTGTTGATCCCCCCCGACCGGTGCTCATTATTTGTTTCGATTGAAGTGCCCTTCCCGGGGCTCGAGCCCGGTTTTTTATCAGGGAAAATCTTGAGGGTCAGACTTTGTTGTTGGCCCCTTGTTTACAACAACAACGGCTCCCGCCTGATACTTCCTCACAATTTATTGAAGAATCGCGCTCTCGCTTTGGACTTCCTTGCAATTTACCACCGGATCGCGGCTCCCGCTTTATACTTCCTTACAGTTGATTGAAGAATCGCGCTATCGCTGGGGACTTCCTCGCAACTTACCACCGAATCGCGGCTCCCGCCTGATACTTCCTCACTCAAGAATTGCGCTCCCGCTACATATTGCCTGGCGGTTCAAGCAGAATGTACGCTTCCACGACCCGCCCGCTCGACCCGCCCATCTGGGCCTGCCCGCCCGACCAGCCCGTTAGGGACTGCAGTCGCCGCTCGCTGCCCTTCGCCCGCCTTCGATGCCCCTCGCTGCCCGTACTGGTTCTGCGATCACCTTCGCTCGCTGCCCTTCGAGGCCCCTTTGCTGCCCTCAGTGGCCCCGTCGCTGCCCATTGTGGCCCCGCATTATATGCCCTTCGTGACCCCCGCTCGCAGTCGCCCGTCGTGGCCCCATACGCATGCCCTTCGAAGCCCCGCTGTCGCCCTTCGCGGCCCTCTCGCTGCCCTTCGTGGCCCCTTTGCTGCTCTCAGTGGCCCCGCTGTCGCCCTTTGTGGCCCCATATACGAATGCCCTTCATGGCCCCCGCTCGTTCGCGCCCGTCGTGGCCCCATATGCATGCCCTTCGTGGCTCCGCTGTCGCCCTTCGTGGCCCCCTCTCTGCCCTTCGTGGCCCCGCTTCTGCCCTCAGCGGCCCCGTCGCTGCCCTTCGTGGCCCCCGATTAATTGCCTTTCGTGGCCCCCGCTCGCTCGCGCCCTTCGTGGTCCCAGACGCATGCGTTTCGTCGCCCCGCTGTCGCCTTCTCTGCCCTATCCCCGCTCCCCGCGCTCCAAGACGCCCACGATATCCCCAAGACGGTCCAAGAGGCCCCAAAGAAGCCCGAATAGCGCTCCAAGGGGACCACAAAGAGGGCCCAAAAAGACAACACTCATTGATGTTCCGCTTGTGTTTCCTCTGTTTTTTCACGTCCTCGCGTATTCGGGCTTCCGACGCTCCGAGATGTCCCCAGAGGCCTCCAATCGGCGGCGACGATAAGGGCGAATAGCTCAGGGGCGGGCATTACACGTATTCGCCCGGGAGCCTTTTTCGAAGACGTAGATCATCGGCGCACCTGAATACACGTATTGCTCTCCCCTGGGCTATTCGTCGTCGTCTCTGATCCAAGACCGCCCCAAGAATACACCGCCAGACCCCCCACGCATCCAAAGGCCCCAACCGTGTGGAGAAGACTGGCGAACGCCTCGCCAACGCTCGGACGGACACTCACCGTACATTTTTTCGATTTCGCGCGTGCGTTGTCTCGCATAATGACCCGGGATTCTCCTCAGTGGTCTTCGCTGCGAAGATAATTACGCTTAGGTCGGGCATGCCCCCCTACAGGCGGCTTTTGGACGAAACATCTAGAATACGGAAAATATTAGAACATACGCAAACAATGCTTCAAAAAGTGTCCCCATAATATTTCTGACTATTTTGGAATATTCGTCGTCCTGTAGAGGGACAGGCCCGAACGTACACTTCAGAGCGATCCCGAGGCGAAGAGATGGTTCTGACGTGTAAGATCTTGGCTGCGGCCACGGCGCAATAATCATAGGGGCCGCCTTTCTTCGCGAAACAGCCCCTGAGATAGAGGCCTCCAAAATGAGGTCCGAGTAGGTAGGGTCGGAGGGTCGCGCCGCATCGCCGATGCATCGCCGATTCGTCGGCGACGTCGGCGATGCATCGGCCACGCTGGCGCGGAAGACCTCGGGCTCCACATCGCGCCGCATCGCCGAGGCGTCGGCGATGCGGCGTGACCCTCCGACTCTATCTACTCGGACCCCACCCGGGAAGCCTAGATGAGATCCCATGTTGTCAAGACCGGTTCGGCCCACCCAGTTCTAGAATAAGAGCGAAACTGCATAGACAGAAACTTTCGGGGCCCCGCGCGGACTTCTCGGATCTGCGATGCACTCACCTCCCTGGACCGCGCCACGGGCGGCGCCCGAGGCGCCACCAAAGGGGCCCAGCGCGGATCCGAGAACTCCGCGCGGAGCGCCAAAAGCTGATGTTGATGCCTTTTCCTCGGCATCGCTCGGACGTCCAATTCCCCGTGCATTTTTCGACTTCGTGCGTGCATTTTCCGCCAAATGATCAAAAATGCTCCTCAATAGTCCACGCCGAGAAAAAATGCACACGTCCGAGCGACGCCAAGATTCTGCTTCTTCAATCTTCGGAGGTCGGCCTCCGTCCTGGGCCTGCTCTCCGCCCTTCTTCTCGAGTGCCGCGCACCTCGCCCCCAGCGCTTCGTGCAGCCGCGACTCCAGGGACGTGAGCTCCTCTCGAAGCGCGGGCTGGTGCGGGGCGGAACTGCCCGAGAAGCCGCGGTGTGCGGGTGGGTTGGCGGAGGCCAGGTGCTGGGCTCCTCCTCGATCCTCCTCCTCCTCCTCCTCCTCCTCCTCGATCCTCCTCTTCGATCCTCCTCCTCGATCCTCCTCCTCGATCCTCCTCCTCCTCCTCCTCCCCTTCCCCTCCGCCTCCGCCTCCTTCCCTCCTCCTCCTCCTCCTCCTCCTCCTCCGCCTCCTTCCCTCCTTCTCCTCATCCGGATTGGCGGAGGCCGGGTTTGCATAATTCTGGTGATGACATGGGCGATCGGGAAGGGAGGAGACGCTGGCCGATCATCTGACTGCTCCGCTCCGGGCAGACCTTGCATCTGCATCTGTGCACCACCAGCCTGCATGTCGTTCGCGCGCAAGCCAGTGCGAGGCAAACGCACCTGCGGATCGCAAGACAAGGGAGAGGAACCTATGTTTGTGCCCACCGCCCAGATTGCGAAGATAACTGGAGCTTGCCTGTACCGCAGCAGGTGTCGAGCACCCCGATATGCAAAATCACACGTGGGGTGAAGCCTGCAAACGCCACAATAGCGCGCAAGCAACACAGTGCGCTGGCGAAGACCAACAAAATGATCCTGACCACCACAAGAGCCTGCGAGTGCCGCAGCGTGTTTGAGAGCACCGCGAAATGCATGCGACTACCAAGCGACGCGGGAAACTGTACCCAGTCAGTGCTGCAGTAGCCTGCCAACGCAACATGTACGCAAGCACAGCAATATAGTGGTTCCCGCAAATCCGATCGCAGTGTGAAAACACCATACTGGGCATTCGAGCGCTATCTATGTGCCTGCGAGCACCACGAGGGGACACGGACACAGGAACGTGCCTGAAATCACAACTATGTGATTGCGACCACAAGACGACAAGGACAACCGGACCTTGCCAGCACCTAGCAGCCTCCGAGAGCCCCGTGCACGCACAACGATGTGCCACACGTAACTTGTCACTGAAGCATGAGCCTGCGCGCACCGCGGTGAGCGTTCGAGCACCCATGACGTGCTTGCCCCCACCATACATGCCTCCGAACGCCGCAACATTCATGAGATCACCGCCACGCTCTTACGGTCATCAGTGCGAACGCCACGACGGGCTCGCAGGTACCACAACACGCTTGCAACCACAAGGCGGCGCGAGCAGGAGCAGAACGGGGAGGACTTGCGAGGAGGGAGACTCAACAACAGAAGGACAAGACAACACCACAGGGGACTCATCCCTCGGCCCGCGATATGGCAAAGCGATGCTAGACTGGCAAACTACTGGTTCCCGTGGTCTCCCGCGCCCTCAATCCAACGCTACTGCGAGGATCCCGCCCCCGCGGCCCGGGAACCCACAACACCCGGGACGCGCGGGCATCTACACATGCTTCTTTTTGCAAGAATGTTCAACGATTGCCTCTCGCCGACGACGACGACGACGACGACGACGAGGACGAGGCCCCTGTCGGGGTCAATCGGCCCCGCCAGGGACCCGCGCATGGAAAAACATCTCGGGACGCTCCAAGCGGCCAAGCAAGCAAACATGATGACATCTGGGAAACCCGATCTGTCGAGGGCCTCCAGGGCGAACCTCCCGTGTCCTGCACCCGTGTACCCACGTCCTGAAGAGCTCGCGTAGACTCAACCCGTATGATACGGACGCACGACAGGATGCAAGGGCCTCGGAAGGCCATGTCGAAGCTTTTCGAGCGGGGCGCGGCCACCGAAAGTGGCCAAGGAGGGACCGAGGAGGCAAGGATGCAAGGGTACCCTTGGAAGGGTTGCCCATCCTTGATATGCGGGTTAACTGTACGGCGCAGCTTGGGGAGCCCGCCCCGTGTGACTGGGCGGGCGGGAGTGTGCAAAGCCCTCGTGCAGCAATGTTGTCGCCCAGCCACGGCCTAGGGCAAGCGGCGCTGCACACAACGCTTAGTGAGAAAACCCTGCGGCCATCACAGGGGATAACATTTTACGAACGCTCACGTGCGAACAACACTCAAGCGAGCCGCTGAGCTGGAACTGACGCCGGAGGCGAGGTAGGCCTCAGCAGCAGTGGTCTGCCTGCGTCCGCAACCACTGTGGCGATCGTTGGCCCTAGCGTTTCTTCTCCTCTTCCCCTTCCTCCGTCCTCCTCCTGTCCCTTGCCTCCTGTCCCGAACCCTCATCTATGGCGCGCGGAGCGCGCCAGATGCGGCGCCAAAGGCGCCGCCAGGGGGATCCAACACAGTTCCGAGGAGCTCCGAAAGTTTATCTTTGTGCCATTCTTTCTTCGATGACCGATGGGATCTCTTCAAAGCCAGGGAGCGGGGGACAGAGCTTGCAGAAGAGGAGGAGGAGGAGGAGGAGGAGGAGGAGGCAGCGGACACGAAGTAGGGTGCAGGGCGGGCGCTGGCCTCCTCAGTGCCAGACGCCGACCTCTTGTCCTTGCCTGAATGCCTCCTAGATGGGGTCCGAGCAGATGGGGTCGAAGGATCGCGCCGCATCGACAATGCATCGCCAATGCATCTCCAATGAATCGCCGATACCTCGGTGATGCATCGGCGACGTCGGCGATGCATCGGCGCAATCGGCGTGGAGAAACTCTGGCTCAACATCGAGCCGCCTCGTCGATGCGGAGTGATCCCTCGACCCCATCTACTCGGACCTAATTTGAGAGGCCTAGATGGTCCTTGGCCGAAGCTGTGTTCTACAATGCAAACAGCGCCACGACAACGCGTGTGAACGCCTCAGTACCGAAGGTCTCCAGGCCAGGCACCGCGGCGCCAGCGGGGACCACCACCGAGCCCATGAGCACCGCGATGCCTGTGAGCACCGCCCCGCGCCTGTGAACACCAGTCCCTGAAGAGTACCGCCACCGCGCAACCGCCTGCCTTGCGCCTCATCGGGGACGCACTGACCAAGGTCAATGCCACCCTGGCTCTGCAAGATCCCACAAGATCTGGCGTTCTGGCTGACCCCGTGTGCATTGACCTCCGTCTCAAGCCTCAAAGCTCCCGACCTCCCACCCAACCCCCGCGCCGAGACCTGCACGAACGACAAGGCTACAGCAGGTCCGTGTGGCGACGATCCGAGTGGACACGGCGTGAACCTGCCATAATGTCGAAGGAAACGCGTGGCGAATTCGAGAACCTGGGTTATCGCCGGACCCCTTCCAAGACGACTCTCCTACAGTAGAGGTCTCCTAGATGGGGTCGGAGTAGATGGGGTCGGGGGATCGCGCCGCATCGCCGATGCATCGGCGATGCATCGCCGATGCATCGGCGACGTCAGCGATGCAGCGGCGAAAATCGGGCTCCACATCGAGCCGCATCGGCGAGGCGGCGCGATCCTCCGACCCCATCTGCTCCGACCCCGTCCAGGAGGCCTGGCTGCAGGCCCCCGCCGCGCCGCCGAGAGCACCTCGAGGCCAGAAGGCCGCGCAGAGCTGACAAACAAAACTGCTAACAACCTCGAAGCTCGAAACTGCACCCCCCGCCGGAGGAGGAGGAGGAGGAGGAGGAGGAGGAGGAGGAGAAGGAGGAGGAGGAGGAGGAGGAGGAGGGGGAGGAGGACTCGCCATCGCTCGGACGTCCATTCCTCGTGTATGTTCCTTTTCGTGCTTGTTTTTTTTTCGCCAAATGATCAAGGATGGTCCTCGATGGCCGTCGCCGAGAAAAAATGCACACGTCCGAGAGATGCCAAGAGGAGGAGGGCCGAGGGGGGCGCGACAACCGCCGCGCCCGTCCTGGGCGTGCTCCCCGTCCCTCTTCTCGAGGGCTGCGCACCTCGCCCCCAGCGCCTCGAAGCTGCTCTGCAGCCGCGCCTCGAGGGACGCGAGCTCCTCGCGCCGCGGGCCCGGGGTCGAGCCATGGAACTGGCCAACAGACGGAGGCGTGTTGCAAGGTGCTGCAGGGGTCGGGCACGCGTGAAGGGGCCCAGGGACACACACACACATAACTCCACATGAATCAAGATGTTCCCATACTTTCCCCACGCTTCCCATGCTTTCCCATATTTCCTGGGGAATCGACGATTCATTGTGTGAGTTTTTTCCCTCCTGAACGTACTGCCCCGGGTCAGTGCACACACACGGGTCAGTCGGGCCTTGCAGGCCTGCAAGATCTGCACCCCTGGCCCTGCAGGATCCCCTAAAGATCGGCGCCCTGGCTGATCCCCGGTTGCATTGACCCCCCTCTCTCAGGCCCCGAAGGAGGAGGGGGACACTACCGCTGGGCCGCCCAAATGACCGCCGTGCTCAGACCTGGGGTCCCGCCTGGGCGAGGTCGTGGATGTCTTCTCCAGCGAGGCGGGGGGGTAGGAAGAGTGCAGCAGGACAACGTTGGCCAGCGTGGACCCCAAACAATGAGTTGCGCACTGCACTGCGGATGTGCAAGCTGTGTAGTGCAAGCAGTGTAGTGTAAACTATGTGGTTCAGGATGCGTGGTGCAAGCTGGAGGCGGCAACGACTCGGCAACGGGCAGCAATCGGGGATCTGCTGACCCGGGCCAGTCCAGACCCGGGTCAGTCGGGCCTTGCGGGATCCTGCAAGGTCCTGCATCCGAACCTGGGTCAACGCGAGGGATCCTGCAGGATCCTGCAGGATCCTGCGCCCCGAACCCGGGTCGGTGCGACCCTGGCCCTGCAGGATCCTGCAGGATCGGGCGCTCTGGCCGACCCCCCGTTTGCATGGAACCCCCGTCTCCGGGCTCCCGACGCAGCGGGGCAGGGCTTCGCCGGACCGACCAGACGCACGAGGCGGCGACGAGGCCGGAACGGGCCGGAACGGGGCGCCTCCTCGGGGCGCCCCCACGAGCGGCAACGGGCAACAGGTTGGCTGGAGCGTGGCCGACCCTCGGGACCCCCCCCCCGAGGCGGCAACGGGCCGGAGCGTGGCAAATCCTCGGGGCATCCATCGAATTCCTTCAGGGGGGCAGAGGAAGAAGCCCCAAGTGGAGGCACTGCGTGGAGAAGAGGCGGTGTCAACACAAACTGTCGGAGGTCCACGCGGACTTCTGGGATCGGCGCTGGGCCCCCCCTCCCTGGCGCGCGGAGCGCGCCAGGAGTGGCATCGAAGGCGCCGCCAGGGGGGTCACAACACCGATGCAAGACATCCGCGCCCCACGAAACTCCCCAAGAGACCAGGTTCACGATCCCAATACGGTGGCGGGACCGAAAGCCAGTAGGTATGGGAAAACCAAAAGCGCGAAGACCCTGCTGTGGCTAGACCAAGAGCATCAGCGCGTACACTACATTGCTCCCCCTGCTGGACGCCCAACACATCCCAGGCCGGTCACTTGTACGAGCCTCCTCTGGCCAATTCCCTTCGGGCTTTGAATTGCTGCCCCATTACGACTGTAGCGGTCCAGCTTGTCCTCGTGTATCGCGTGGGCCAACTGCGCGTGCATCGCGTGGGTCAGCTGCGCGATCCGAGCGTCGAGCACGTCCTCGGTGACCAGCTCGACGTGCGCTTTGTCATTGCCAGTGACCCTCACGCCAGGACTGGTGGGTCGAATGCCTGCGGTGCCAAACAGACCAAACGCTGGGGGCAGTGAACAGGTTGATCTCTCAACGACAAAGACCCCTATGCCTTCTGCTGTCTGCTTCCCCCTTCACGCATTCTGGCAGCAATGGGCCCGCGCCCTCGACTTGGTGCGTTCCTCCGGTGTCCCTCCTGCCTCCTCCCGCCCTGTCCCCTTCCCTCCTCCCTGCTCCTAACATGCATTCCCACGCCCGCCTGTAAGCAGGGGGACGGCGTTCTACTCTGCCTTGCAGCAACGCTGCCCTCACTGATCAAGGGGATGGGCTCGCGGCGCCAAAACGCCCAGTTGGTCACACCAACTTTCGATCTCAGACAATACGCGCTCAGCAAATGGTATTTTGCACTGCTTGTCATGTGTAATATCATCGCCTTGATTTGAAGATTAACCGCACGTCATTCGACCACCTCGTACGAAACATGTCGGGCAACACACTCCTTGCTCGTCGGTTCGGTCGCCCCAAATACACCTGGGGGCCTGTATGAGTACTCCGTGGACACCCTCGCATACGTCTTGCACCCGTGCCCCAGATTGCATAGCCTTCATGCGCTCTGGCTTCAACGAGAGCAATGATCACACTGAAGTCATACACCGAATGTCATACTTACTTTCCTTTCACGCGTCCCCACGCCCCTGAGGGGGCCTACCCGAGAAGAAGAGCTCGTTCGCAAGGAAAACTACGCGCCTGCGCGCCAACACGAAGGCCTGCCAGGCCTGAGCTGGATCCAATCGCGAAGTCGGATCGGATCGTCAACGAATCGTCTCGAACCGAACCCTGGCCAATGCTGGCGAAGCGGATCGGATCGCACCCGGCCCCGCATGCTGCACTCGGCCAGCACACTTCTCACGCTCTATGCCGCATCCGCGGGCCCCCGCGGGTACGCTCGCACGTCTAGCAGAGCGCAGAAACGGCATAAACATACTTTCCCCAGGTCCGAGCGGATTTCCTGGATCGGCGGTGGACCCTCATCCTTGGCGCGCGGGGCGCGCCTGGGGCAGCGCCAGGGGGGCCCAACGCCGATCCATAAAATCCGCACGGAGCGTCGACAGATCATGGTTCCAGTAGGGGCTCGACCACAAGAAACCTTCCACAAGAAATAAAACGCTGGAACCCCAGGACGTACCTTGATGTCTGGTGTGGGAACGTCACGTACTCCACAACAAAACCATCGAAGCACAAGAAACCCAGGGCACCATGTACGTAGGCAAGCAGGGTGTTTTTTTGCATGGGCTTCCAATGTATGCCGCGCTTTGTTATTCGACTTCTGCACCTGGAACCTGGCCGGCGGATGCTTGGCGGAACTCACGGCGGCCTCGTGCGGCGTCGGTGTGCGCAACGGATTTTTGACACCGCGCCGATCGTTCCACCTTGAATCGATGGCGGCCCCAATCTTTCAAGGTTGGAATCCGTCGGGCCCTGTGGCGTTACCGTGCCCCTCGGTGCTTCTGCGTCGTTCCGTCATGCCGAAATCAACCTCGAACGCCTTCGCGCACGAACCTACCGTAACTTCGCGCCTCGCTCCCCGCGATGCACGGTGACCGTCTCGCCACTTGCGCCGCCCCCCTGGAGAAGCTCAGCTCGGCGGCCCGGGCCGCGGCGCGCGAATCGCGAATACCTTCATGCCTCTGGGGATAGCCTCGGCAATGATTCCCAAACCCGTAGGGCGCATTCGCATGCTGCACGTGGGACCCCGTCCTGCCCCTCCTCTCCTGAGGGACAACGATTGGGGGGGGGGGGACTGGCATAGGGGAGGATGTATCGACCCGGACTCGGCGATACGTCGTCGATAGATCGGCGATGGGCCTCCGCAAGCGACACCGCACCTTCCTGGACGGGTTGGGGCTATCGGGCCGCTGTTGGCGATCAGCGGGCGAGTGGGGGTCGATGCGTTCTCCCCTGTGCCTATCCCCCGCCTGCCGTTGCCCCCGATCTCCCCGTGCTTCAGGCTCGCGGCGTGACGACCACGGCGTTGGTTCCTGACACCGCGGGGACCGCTCAAACTTGAACGATCGGCCGTTTCAGAAACGCCGGATCGTTCAACTATGCTTATGTCGGGCGTGTCCCCCTACAAGGGGACTTTCGACAAAAAATAAAAAATATCCCCAAGCATACCCCAACAATGTCAAAACAAGACTCAAAAAATAATCCCCAGACTATTTTTGGACTATTTTCTGATTATTCTTGGGGTATCTTTTTATTTTTCGTCGAATTCCCCCTGCAGGGGGACACGCCCGACTGAAAGCTATGCGCCGATGCTGGGTCACAGGCGGCAGTGAACCTTACACGCCTGTGCCGAGGTCGCCGCCCGTCGACACGGCGCGAACTTGCCGTGCAGAGCGTCGGCTCAGGAGCGCCCCTACGATCGGGCGTTGGCAGAACTGGGTTTAGTGGGACCTGGCTTGGTTATGTGTACTGGGGGGCGCCCCCACCGCCTCGTTTCACTAGCCGGAACTGCCGTCTCCCGCAAAAAAACACAGATTACGGCAGACCTGGTTTAGTAGTTCTGGTCAAATTAGAGGCTCCCCGGCCTTACTACTAACCGGGTCCCCTTACCTGGGGTCCTTGCCATACTCGATACGATCCCTAAGCTTGACCTCATCATAGCACATCGAGAATACGCGGGCAACATGCAGCATCGTCCATTCCCCTTTCACCTTCCCCCTTGTCCATCCCTCATCTCCGCAACCCCTCCCCCCATACCCGTGTCCAAGACCGTCAACGGCAAAAACACACCCGAGAACAACACCGAACCGACAGCGAGACCCAAGCCGACCGCCGATCTAAGCCGCCAGGCCGCATGAAGCCCAGAAGGGCGCAGCGACGCAGCAACAATACAGCAGCCGAATGGACCGAACCGACCGAGCGCAACCGACTGCGACGCAGACGAACCGACCGAACCGCGGACACACCTGTTGTCCCTCCCCCTCCTTCTTTTGCGCTGCGTTGAGCGAGCTCAGGCTGACGAGAGGCCGCAACCGTCTGTCATAATCAACAGAAGCAGTTCGGGCAATCTAGCCGAGCAGAGAACGCAATACACCAAAACCCGCGTAAGCAACAGCGGCAGCCAGAAGTGGTACGGATGGCACGCATATCAGGAAGCACAGCGTGCGCCTCAACTGTGCTGGTGCTCAGTGATTGGAGCGAGAAGAGGCCTCCTCCTCTGGAAGCCTTTCCGATCAAATCGGAGGATCGCGCCGCATCCCCAATGCACCGGCGACGTCGCGATGCATCACCGACGCCAGCGTGGACCAGACTTAGGGCCTCCACATCGAGCCGCATCGCCGATGCATCGGCGAGGCGGGATCCTCCGACCCCATCTGGGAGGCCTGGATCCTCCTGCCTGGTCCTCCTCCTGGCTGTCGAGGGCCCACCTTCCCACCCAATGTCCCCTCCCCCTCCTCGTCCTCCTCGTCCTCCTCGTCCTCCTCGTCCTCCTCGTCCTCCTCCTCCTCCTCCTCCTCCAATTCCTCCTCCTCCTCCTGCCTCTCCTCCTGCCTCTCCTCCTCCTCCTCCTCTCCTCCTCCCCTCTCCTCCTCCTCCTCCTCCTCCTCCTCCTCCCCCTCCCCCTCCCCCTCCCCCTCCTCCTCCTCCACTCCCGCTCTCCCTCCCCCTCCCCCTTCCCCACTTCCTCCTCCTCCTCCTCCTCCTCTCGCCCCCGCGCCGGCAAGCCTGGGAAGATCGAGCTCCCGGGCGAGGCAGTGTACACCGGGCTGGCGGGCGAGGAGCCCAGGAGCGTCGAGAAGGTGGGGAACTTGTCGGGGCTGCCCGCGGCCCCGGGCGTGAGGACCTGGCGCGGAGGGCGCGGAGGGGGCCCTCCGCGGGGAGGGGAGGGCCAGGGGAGGACGAGGCACAGCCGGCGCGTATCATAAGGATGCGCGATAAGGGTGCACGGCCTTGGACGCCCATGTCGAAGCTTCTCGAGCGGGGCGCGGCCGACGAAAGTGGCCAAGGATGGACCGAGGAGGCAAGGATGCAAGGGTACCCTTGGGAAGGATGCCCATCCTTGCTATGCGGGCTGACTGCGCCAATTCCGCAGCCCTTCCCTCGTCAAAACGGCTGGAATCTCCTCGAAATCCTGGTCGGAGCGCGTCCCAGGGAGATGACCCTGGTGGAATAATTAGCGGCGGGGATGGGCATCTTCCTGCTCCCCCAGAGGGGGGCAAAGGGGATTGAAAGGGGATTGAAAGGGGATTGGGGGCGGGAGGCAGATCGGAGAAGGACGAAAGAGGGACGAGAAAGGGAGGGCGGGGAATATGAGTGGGCAGTGCTATGACGAGGGTGTGGCATGTGAAGGGAGGGTGTTAGCGCTACTCGTCGCAGTGGCGGGCGGAGAACAAGAACCCCGCTCCTCCGACGGCTGGCGGTCTTCCTCCCTTTCCCCGCTAACCCCCGGCCAAGCCCAGGCCACCCCCGTCCCCATTCCCCACTCCTCGCAGGATGATTGGGAATGAGCGAAGAGTAGGGGGAGGATTCTAGGATTCGCGGTTTGGCGCGCCAAGAGACAGGCGGGTCCCACGGGATGATGATGATTATGCTGATGATTGTGATGATGCTGATGATTGTTATGATGTTGATGATGATGATGATGATGATGATGATGATGATGATGATGATGATGATGATGATGGTGATGATGATGATGATAATGATGATGCTGATGATTATGCTGATGATTGTGATGATGCTGATGATTGTGATGCTGCTGATGATGGGGATGGCGCTGTTGCTGAGGATGATGATGGTGATGATGATGCTGATGCTTTGTGGTCGCAATGGTGCGAATACGCATGATCACCCGATGCCGTGGGCTCTGGCGGGGAACCACAACCGCGCGTTACAGACGCATCGGCTGCCCAATGGTCCGACGCACCATGTTGTGTCTGCACCACGCCGCGCAAGCGTGACGGCCACCAGTGACTTGAGAGCATCTCCGGCCAGGCAGTACGGCGCAAAAAATAATGGAAAGTATGCCCCTGCAGACGTCATCGCCAAGGAAAGGAGGGACACGCCGATGTAGCACGCTTGTGCAGCGCGCCTCCAAGATGAAGCAGGCCTCCGCGAAGCACAACTGTCCTCGAAGCGCGCCTCTGTGAAGCACGCCTCTTCGATGGCGCACACGTCCGTGGAACGCCTCTGTAAAAGGTCGCTGCCATGAAACACGCCTCCTTAGGAACGCCTCCATGAAGAACGTTTCCATGCAGAAAGCTTCGATGAAGCGCGCCTCTCCGAGGAAGTTCGCGTTTATGATTAATCACGCCGCCATGATGAAGTTCGCCTCCGGAAAATCCATGCGATGATTCAGCACTCCTCCGCGACGCACATCTGAACAATGAAGTACACCTCTGCGAAACCCGCCTCCGTGAAGCACGGCCGAATGATGAAGCACGCCTCCATGATGATGGAGAACGTGTCCGTGGCGCACACCACCAGGAAGCGCGCCTGCAGGATGAAGCAACTCGCATTCTGAAGTGCCCCTCAGTGGAGCACGCCTCCCCGATGAAGCACGCCTCCGTCCCGGAGCACGCCTCCCTGAGGTAAGCGACAATGTGGGCCCGCTTCGCCGCTGCTTCCGACCGCAAAGGCGGCTGCTGGTGTTGCTGTTCATGCCGCTGTATAAATCCGCCGATCCGGCGTGTGAGTTTGTGAGAGCGTGGGCTTGAGCTCAAGCTTTGCTCTGGACAGGGGGGGGGGGAATTCCAACGAAATTCAATGAACGCACAAGCTCTGGAGAGGGGGGGGATGCTTCGCTCTGGAGAGGGGGGGGGGGACGAATTCCAACGGAATTCAATGAACGGGGGGGACGAATTCCAACGGAATTCACTGGGGGCTGACGCCATTCAGGCCTGGGAGGGAGGAGGGCGGATGGGGGGCTGACGCCATGACGGCATTCAGGCCTGGGAGGGAGGAGGCAGGGGATGGGCTGCGCTCTGTCGGGGGAGGGGGGCTGAGGCCATTCAGGCCTGGGAGGGAGGCGGAGACATTCAGGCCCGGGAGGGAGGGGGGGGGGGAAGGGGGGAACGCCATGGGCAGGAGAGGGGGGGTGGGGGAACGCCATGGCTGACGCCACTCGGGCCTGGGAGGAGGAAGTCGGGATGAGGGGGGGGGAGCTGACGTCAATGCTGACACCATTCAGGCCCAGGAGGGGGATCTGGAGGGGGGGGAGGGAAGGAGCCCTGACGCCATGGCTGACGCCATTCAGGCCTGGGAGGGAGAAGTCGGGGGGGGGGGGGCTGACGCCATGGCGTCAGGCCCGGAAGGCGGGAAGGGACATCCCATGAGTTTGGCTGTTCACGCGAGATCGTCACTTTCGAATATCCGACGGTTGCCCAAGCGAGTTCAACATCTCTATCTTATGAGGATGTCTCGAGCGAGCGCTCTTCTTTAAAACATAAAAGGTCCTCCGTTGCAAACAGAATCGGTAGCACCCCGGATCGGCGGCACTGGCCAGAGGCCACTACAATAGGACACCAACATGTGCCCCACATCCTTGAATGCGAAGTCAACTCCAGCCAGGCAGCACGGGCCCGAGGGGCCATGTATATGATGACCCTCGTACGCCATCACAAAAGCAAAACAGGGGCACGCCGATGAATCCCGCGCCCGTGAAGCACGCCTCCATATTTTTTACAAACAAGACCTCCATGAAGCGGCCCTCCCCGATGAAACACGCCTCGTGATGGGGCCTGCCTGCGTGAAGAACGTCTCGGTGAAACGCGCCTCGATGAAACGCGCCGCCGTGGGGAAGTTCGACTCCATGACACAGACTGCCTTCATTATGACAGACGTAGAGGGACGTGAACGGCTGCACCGCCGTTGCACAAGGGCCGGATCTGGTGCAGCAAGATGATGAGTTGTGGCCGCACTGGTGTGAAGACACATGATCACCCGATGCCGTGGGCTCTGGCGGGGATCCGCACCCGCGCGTTGCAGACGCAACGGCTGCCCGATGGTCCGACACACCCTGATGTGTCTGCACCACGCCGAGCGGCGCTCTATGTACCTCGTGTACATCTACAGCGCTACAGACAAGATGCCCCAACCAAAACGCCACGTCCACGGTACTTGCATTTGTTACGGTTGAGTGGCCCCGCCGCTCCTACCACCTCCCCTCCTCCGTCGAAGGCCTCAGGATTTGGAGGAATGTGGGTGGCGCTCATCTCTCCCCACCCCTCCTGGAGCGTGTCCTCCGCCACGAAACCGTCGCGCCACGGGGCCGCTTTGCGGGCACGGGGGCGATTTGGATTGCGCCAACTGGCGCTGCGTAGGTGGGGAAGGGGAGAATGAGGAGGAGGAGGAGGAGGAGGAGGAGGAGGAGGAGAAGGAGGAGAGAAGGAGGAGGAGTAGGAGGAAGAAAAGGAGGGAGATCATTTTTTTATTCCGGCCGGTAACGCTCGTTACCCGGGGGGGGGGGGGGGGTCGTGCCCCCCGGGTAACGGTAACGCTTGGGCTGGGCGGGGTATGGCGAAGCAGGGGCGCTCTGCGATCGCCATAGTATGCGCGCGAGCAGCACTCTCTGCCTGAGAGCACCACAGTGGCTTGCGATTCGAGTACAAGCGCAAAGCCCGCCGCGTGGTCCCGGCACCACGCCCGCGCCCGCGCGCGCGACGACGATGATCGACGAGCGACGAGCGACGAGGTCGACGACGACGACGACGACGTTTGCCGCCTGTTTCGGCCTCCGGAGGCCGTTTTCGGGCGCCGTCGACGACGACGACGACGACGACGACGACGACGACGACGACGACGACGACGACGACGACGACGACGATTCGAGTACAAGCGCAAAGCCCGCAAGCACCAGCATCGCGCATGCGAGCGCCGCAATGGCCTGCGAGCGCCCACAGTGCGCCTGCGACCACCACACCACAGTGCGCATGCCTTCGGGCACCAGCATGTTGGAGGGGAAGACCGAGACCCCCCCCGCGTACGAGCGTTACCGTTACGGGGGGGGGGGGGGGGGAGAGGCCCGGGTAACGAGCGTTACCCCCCAGAGGATAAAAAAACAATCTCAGGGGAGGAGGAGGAAGAGAAGGGAAGAGGAGGAGGAGGATGAGGAGGAAGAAAAGGGAGGAGGAGGAGGAGGAGGAGGAGGAGGAGGGAAGAGGAGACGGAGGAGGAAGAGGAGGGTGGAGGAGGAGGAACACGGAACACACTTTGGCCCGCCTACGATGAGGCAGGTCCAGGGAGGAGGAACAGGAGGAGGAGGAAAAGGAAGAGAAAGAGGAGGAGGAGGAAGAGGAAGAGTTGGAGATGGAGGAGTAGGAGGGGGGTAGGAGGAGGAGGAGGAGGAGGAGGAGGAGGAGGAGGAGGAGGAGGAGGAGGAGGAGGAGGAGGAGGAGGAGGAGGAGAGGGAGGATGAGAGGAGGAGGAGGAAGAGGAGGAGGGGGACCAGTGTAAACCCAAGAGTCGTCAACACTGTTGGGATAAACCCTCCCTCCAAGCTCCCTCCAGCGGTTCATTTCCACTGAAGGAACTGCCTCGTTGGAAGAGAACCGTTTGAAGATCCTCAAACATGCCGAAACATGATTATCGGGACTCAAACGCCACGGATCAACCTGACTGTTGCGTCTTGACGGTCCTGAATCGTGCCAGAGCGCCATTCCTGGGACTTCAACACCGCGAATCAACGTAACTGCTGCGCCCCAATAGTCTGGAATATCCCCAACAAAAAAAACAATTTCTGGAACGCTGATCATTGAAACCCATGAAACCCTTAGAAGACTTAGAAAACATGCGCGCGGCGCTAAAGCGAGGCACACAATTTGAAAACCAGCCGCCCTCAATCCGTGAAGCTCTTGCAATCAAAACAAGAATGTGCGCGGCGCTGAAGCGAGAACCACATGTTTTGAGAAGGAGCCGCACTCCATCCGTGCAATTCTTGCAAATTGTAAAAGCAAATGTGCACGGCGCTAAAGCAAAACCACCTGTTCAAAACCACCCGCCCTCAATCCGTGAAACTCTTGCTCATGCTTAGAACGAATGTGCGCGACGCTAAGGCGAGAACCATATTTTGAACACCATCCGCCCTCAATCCGTGAAGCTCTTGCAAATGTTTGAAACGAATGTGCGGCGCGAAAGCGAGAGCCACATTTTGAAAAGCACCCGCCCCCCATCATTGAAACTATTGCCACTTGCCAAAATTCAAAGTCATACATGGTGCGGAAGTCTCCGCGAAACGCCCTAGAAACTTGCCTCCAGGTGCGACAGGGGGAAGTTGGTTGTAAGGAACGTGAGGAGGAGTGATGAGGCGGATGAGGATGAGGAGGAGGAACAGGCGGAGGGGGAGGAGGAGGAGGAGGAGGAAGATGAAGATGAGGAGGAGGAGGAGGAGGAGGAGGAGGAAGAAGGGAGGAGGAGGAGAAGAGGGAGGAGGGGGAGGAGGACCAGGAGGAGGAGGACCAGGAGGAGGACCAGGAGGAGGAGGAGGAGGAGGAGGAAGAGGAGGAGGAGGAGGAGGGGGAGGACCAGGATAAGGAGGAGGAGGAGGAGGAGGAGGAGGAAAAGGACAAAAAAGAGGAAGCGGATGAAGAGGGAGGGCGGAGGTGGGAAAACGAGGGGCGGGACGGAGCCCACGGTGGCCGAAGCAGCCAGCTCGTGCACCCACCTGCTGGAAGTCGCCGACCGCCTGTTCGAACTGCTGCACAAGGCCTGCAGCGCCGCGGGCCGTTCCCCCCCTCCAGCTTTCCACCCCTCCATCTCTCTCCATGCCACCATAGATCTCGATCTTTCTACATGTATGGTCATCCCTCCCCCTTCTTCTCCTGCAAAAGCCGAAGCGCGTCTATCTACACCTCGCGCGCCCGCGCGAGGACCCTGAACGCGGCAACGACCGCGGCGAAAACGAAAAACAACGCGACGACCTGGTGGGGTTCCAATAACGGCCCGCCGCCGTTCACGCCCCTGCGGGCCGCTGGGCCGGCGCCGTCCGCCCCGAAGGCAGACCACATTTGCCGAGGTGTGGTTCAGTCCCTACTGTGACGTTGGCCGTCGTCGTCGACGACTTGATGCTGCAGCAGGCCAGCGGCCTGCAGAGGTCAACTCGGGAGCTGGCCGCGGCGGCACTCAAGCTCAAGTGCCTCCTGGCGGATTTCGGCTTAGCCGTCGCTGCGAAGAGGTCGCGGGTCCTCTCCAATGTCCCCGCTGCTTGGCACGAGCTGCAGAAGAGGAGGCTAGCCCGGCCGCTGGATGTCGTGGCGGTCAGGGCCGAACGCAGCCTCGGCTTCGACTTCGCCAACTGCAAGCGCCTCGCACGCTCGGTGCGCGGCTCGCGGCTTTTGTCAGGCCAGGCTGCGCGTGGCGCGCGTGTGCATCATCAGGACGAGCAAGCTGAAGAAGCTCGCTGTGCGCGCGATGGCGCGCACGGGGCTGGAGGTCTCGGTCATCTACGACCTCGAGCTACGCTCATGCCAATATTGACGCTCCTCTGGTCGGCCTGGGAGGGCTGGCTCGCCCGCCACGTGATGGCGCGTGCATGGGTCAGTGGGAGGTGGTCTCGCTGGCGCAAGTCACTCGGCCTCACGCTGCTGGCGCCATGTCCAAGCAGAGGGTCGGCCAGTCCGTGCGTGACGGAGTCACGTGGGTCATGCGCGACGGCCAGCCGCGGCGGACGTTCGACGTGTTGCCGTGGCGGGTGCACCGGCTCCTCCTCCTGGCCATTGAGCGCGCTGGCAATAGAGCCAATGCCGCCGAGACGCCTGGCTGGCCGCACCTGAACGGCGGCGTGCTGGAGCCGCTGGTCAGACGCACCACCACGGGCCGCCTGCGGCCTGGTGGGCGGCAGGCTGCTGCTGGGTGCGCCGACGGCGATGCCTCTCTCCGAAGGGGAGCAGGTGCCTGGTCTCCTCGTGTTCGGTGGCCAGGTGGTGACAGGCGCACGATAGGCGGAGGTCGGCATGGCGGCGAGCGACGTGTGCCTACGCTGCGGCGTCGCACCTGGCACCCTTCTGCAGCGCCACTGCGATTGCGCTTCTGGTTGGCTCGGCTTCCAGCTCGCCTGCCGCATGGCGACGTTGAGGGCTCGTGCGGACGACCTCCCGTAGGTTCGGTTGCTGCTCGAGCGCTGCTTCTGGGCCGCCCCCTCTGGGCTGGGCAGGCCGCGACGCCGTGGCGAGCGCTGCTGGCATGGCGCCCACGACGGCTACGTGCCGTCGGGGCTGGTCTTCCTGGATGGCTCCGCGTTCGAGGAGGCGGTGTTCGAGGGCAGCACGAGCGTGAGTTGGTCTCTGGTTGCGCTTCCGCCCGAGGTCGTCCAGAAGGGTGTGATCTGCTCGGCCCGACCGTCACCAGACGGCACGATCTCGCCTGGGCGCACCTGTGGCGGCAGCTTTGGCGGCTCGTCGCGGACGTCGGCGGCGTCGGTGAGCATGGATTGGTGGTTCGGCGAGTTCCATCGCACCGCCCTCGCCAAGACGTCGCGAGCGGCCTGATCAGTTACTGCGACTACATGTCGGCGGCGAGCGAGGGGGGAAGTGGGAAGGAGAAGGCCTTCTCAGAAGGCGGCGTGGCCTCTCAGAAGCCCTCGCGCCTTCTGAGAAGTGCTCTGCATCTCCGAGAGAGGCTTCGAAACTTCTCAGAAGGCAGGGTGTCTTCCGAGTCTCCGCAGAATGGCATTCTCCTCCCCACCTCCCCCCCCACCCCAGGCTCGCCGCCGACGAGGCGGCCAAGTCCGCTGCAGCCTCTTGTCGGTGGCCACCTCCGCAGCGTCGCAAGCTCCACCAGGCTGGCGCCTTCGTGGAGAAAGGGTCGGGGATCTTCTGACCCGGGTCAATCCAGACCCTGTTCAGCAGGAAACCAAAAATTGCAATGCAAGAAAAAACTGCAACACAAATCTTCGCAAACCCGGGTCAACCAATATGCGCGGCCGCCTCGCGGCCACGAGCGGCTCGCTAACCCGGGCCAGCCAGAGGGGATCTTCGCAGGATCCTGCAGGATCTGGTGCCCTGGCTGACCCCCATTTGCATTGACCCCCGTCTCAAGGCTCCCGGATGGGGCGCGCTGGTGCACCACCGCCGGCTCGGCCTGCGATGGCGCCGACGCCACGCGCAGCGAGGCGAAGCCGCAGCAGGCCGTGGCGCGGGCCCCGCCTTCTCCCAACCCCGCCCTCGCCTGCCAAGGCTCGAGCTGCACCGGGTGTGCTTCGTTTCCGCCTTGCTCTCGCCATCCCTCGTCTTGTGTTGTTCCCATCCTACTTAAAAACCGCATCCCAGAAATAATTTCGAGCACCCGGAAAAGTGTCGAAAGAGCGTCGAAACAGTGTCGAAACAATGTCGGGCGAGTGCCTCCCAGGGCCCGACACGTGAACACCCTTGGACTTCGGTAGTCCCACCAGCCCTTTGGGCGTGAGTGGTTTAGAGAGCCCGCTCTGTTCTCAACCCCCCTTCTTCCCCTTCGGGGAGGGGTTTACCCCTCCCCCTACCCGAGAAAAGGTGTTTCTGTGTCCAGATGGGGGTTTCGGTGTTCTCGATGAGTGTTTCTGTGTCCAGATAGGGTGTTTCTGTGTCCCAGTGTATGTGTGTCTTGGAGTGGGTCTGGGTTGGGGGTTTCTGTGTCCCAGCGCGCCTCTTGGACTTCCCGAGAGAGCCTCTTGGACTTCCCGAGAGAGCCTCTTGGACTTCCCGAGAGAGCCTCTTGGACTTCCCGAGAGAGCCTCTTGGACTTCCCGAGAGAGCCTCTTGGACTTCCCGAGAGAGCCTCTTGGACTTCCCGAGAGAGCCTCTTGGACTTCCCGAGAGAGCCTCTTGGCATCCTTCCGGAGGCCCTCTTGGGCCAGCTTGGGGCTCTCTTGGGACCGTCCTGGGTATTTGTGGGGGGGATCTTCACTCATTCTCTTCATTCGTCTCGGTCGTCAGCCGAAGAAGGAGGAGGGGGAGCGGGGGAGGAGGGGGCGAGGAGAGGGAAGGTGGAGGAAGGAGGGCGTCTTTCGTCGTGGTCGTCGTCGTCGTCGTCGTCGTCGTCGTCGTCGTTGACAGCGATGGTATTGTTGATGATGATTATGATGATTGGGATGATGATGGTGATGATGATAATGACGATGACGATGACTATGACTATGGCGATGATGACGACGACGGTGACGATGAAGATTACGATGATGGTGGTGATGATGGTGATGATGATGATGACGCCGACGACGGCGGTGATGGTGATGACGACGACGACGACGACGACGACGACGACGACGACGACGATGATGATGATGATGATGATGATGATGATGATGATGATGATGATGATGATGATGATGATGATGATTATCATTCTCGTCTCCCTCCCTCTTTCCGTTCCTGCTCTCCTTGGCTCCTCTCCCGCCGTCGTCCCGTCCCCCTCCCGCTGCGTAGAGCTCCAGCGTTTCGTTCTCAAGTGGGGCCTCCAGCCAATCCAGAGACGACGTTCAGGCGAGTTGAGGTGATCAACGAAGCATCGGGCGGGAAAACCGTCGTATCCCATGAGGATGGGGAAGGAGGAGGGGGAGGAAGGATGAAGAGGAGGAACAAGGAGGGGGAGAACGAGGATGAGGAGGGTGAGGCGGAAAAGAGCCAGACCCAGCTTGAATGCCCCTCGGAGTCTCCTCGGATGGCTCTTAGAAGTTGTTTGGAGGCCTCTTGAGGCGTCTGGGGGGCCTTTTGGTTGGCCCACTGGCGTTTCTGAGCGTCTTGGGTGCTGCGAGGGTCCTCTTGAGGCCTCTTCGAGTCTTGAGGGCCATTTGGGGGTATCTTGAAGGCCTCTTGGGGGCCTCTTGGGAGCCTCTTGGGGCCATCTTGGGGCCTCTCGGGGCCTCATGAGCGCCTCTTGGGCGCTCTTGGGGGCTTTAGGGGCGCTCTTGGGCCCGTCTTGGAGGACATCGATCAAACCCGAGGGGAGATTCAATTAGTCCTGCCCCTCGGGAGCCCCAGAAATCGTCTCCTGGACTCCTCTTGGAGCCCTTTTGGGGCGCTCTTGGGGCCGTCTTGGGGCTCTCCTGGGCCTCTCTTGGAGCCTTCATGGGCCATCTTGGAGCCATATTGGGGCCTCGGATGGCCATTGGGAGCGAAAAGGCGGGAAGTAGTAGTAGTAGTAGTAGTAGTAGTAGTAGTAGTAGTAGTAGTAGTAGTAGTAGTAGTAGTAGTAGTAGTAGTAGTAGTAGTAGTAGTAGTAGTAGTAGTAGTAGTCGTCGTAGTAGTCGTAGTAGTAGTAGTAGTAGTAGTAGTAGTAGTAGTAGTAGTAGTAGTAGTAGTAGTAGTAGTAGTAGTAGTCGTTAGTAGTAGTAGTAGTAGTAGTAGTAGTAGTAGTAGTAGTAGTAGTAGTAGTAGTAGTAGTAGTAGTAGTAGTAGTAGTAGTAGTAGTAGTAGTAGTAGTAGTAGTAGTAGTAGTAGTAGTAGTAGTAGTAGTAGTAGTAGTAGTAGTAGTAGTAGTAGTAGTAGTAGTCAGTAGTAGTAGTAGTCAGTAGTAGTAGTAGTAGTAGTAGTAGTAGTAGTAGTAGTAGTGGTAGTAGTAGTAGTAGTAGTAGTAGTAGTAGTAGTAGTAGTACGAGTATGAGTATGAGTAGTAGCTGTAATGCTAGTAGTGGTAGTCGTATGAGTAGTACTCGTAGTCGTAGTAGTCGTAGTCGTAGTAGTCGTAGTAGTAGTAGTAGTAGTAGTAGTAGTAGTAGTAGTAGTAGTAGTAGTAGT